CCGGCAGCGGGCTTGGGGAGGTACCCTGAGACCGAACGGGGGCCCGGTAGGCAGCTCTGGGGTACCTGAGACGGAACGGGGGCCGGCAGGCCGGCTCTGGGGTGGTACCTGAGACGGAACGGGCCTGGCAGGCGGGCTCTAGGGAAGGCCCCAGAGTGCGACACGAGTGACCGGACAGTCGGGTTTTGGGCAGGAGTCTGGGGGAGGTGGGTTTGGACCCCGATCAAAACTAGACAAAACTGCAAACTCGGAACTTTATTGTCCTAAAAGAAAAATTTAGACGCAAACCCAGGACGGACGAAGTGAGATGGGATGTGAAAGATATCGAGACAAGTTAAATACGATTGTGTACGAAGGTAGTCAAACTTTTTACTTGTACAATATCTCAAACGACTGTCGAATCCTGCAAAATTTTTATAGAAATGAACGATGTTACAATACAAACAAACAAGATGTTACACCGAACAAGATCAAACCGACACGACTTACCCACAAAAAAAATCAAATCTAGTGACAATTGTTGTCGTATGTGGACTAAGAACTGTAACATTGGTTAGGAGGTAGTCTCAACAGTCTAAACATAGGGAATAACGAAGTGACACGTCTTGTTGTGTAGTCATCGTGTGGTCGTGTGTGGAGGCACTTTGCGTCTCTCCACTCTTCTGCGGTCAAGTAGTCGAGTGTGAGCACTTCCGTGACGGGGGGGGAGTGAGTAAGGAAATCATCTGGGTGACTACGAAGGTCCAATACCACAAGTACACCGACATTGAAATCATTTTCGGAAACCTTTCAAAATAGCTTACACAGGAAGTACAGTCTTACACCAGAACTATACCCTATTGTTCTCGACTTTGTCCGTTGATACCAAAATAGTCATAATTTTCACCCACTTATAGAATCTTAAAGTAGTACCTGATAGCACTGGAATCTGGAAATTGAGACCTTTCGTTTTCCTTGGAGAGTTTCGGTAAGTAGTTATTGTGAAAAAATGGATATGACATACAGACATGTTCGTGTTGTTATTAGACTTCTATAAGTCCTACTCATTTTACATGTAGTATTATTTATCCTTCGTTTTTTTATCCAAGACGTAAGTTTCATGTTCGTTCAATATATAGTGTTTACATTAACAGCAAAATGGACCTAGTAACTATGTTTTCCTAACAACAAAGTAATGGGACTACCTGTCTTAACGTATATAATGTCAAAAATGAGGTGATGGGCAACATATACACCTTACTCGAACTCCAATGAATTTTGCTAACATGCTTATTATTATTTTTATATCGGACTAGTTTTGGTACTAAACTAGTACATAATGACGTCCCAACCGTATCGAAGTAAATAGAACACGCGTAAAATGTCTTTTCTCAGTGTTGTGGTCCGAAGCTCGAAATCGTCCACGTTTTATTTGCAATAGTTGTGAGTTACGTAGTTGGTAATGCGTCAAGGTATCATAAAATGGCATATACCTCAGTAACACCGAATTACCAACCATGCGAATTGCACCCAAAACTACAAATAACTACTCACGTTCGGAACATATGTAAAGACATCCGGATATGGAATTCACGACGATGATAACAGCTATTCCTTTTATACAATGGAATCGTGGAGATAGTGTTGATTAATAATAATTGATGTCCTGAACTCCGGTCAAAGTCGAGACAAAAGGTCGGACTCAGATAATAAGATAACAAAAACACACATAAATTAATTAAATGAATATTAATTAATTTAAACAAATAAATAATATATGAGTAAATATATAAATTATAATAAAGTGTAAAGTAAACGTTACAACTACAAGTTATTTTTCAAGACAGAACTTCCTACATGATCTTAAGTAGCTACTATAATAGTCATACAGTCACCACATTTTTACCAAGAGTCCATGGAGGGGCGAAGACCAGAGCGGGCGAACCCAGGGGGCCGAGCATGAGGGCGAAGGCCGCGGCACTCAGGAGGCCGGGCTCGAGGGCGAAGCAGGCGGCGACGGAACAACTCCGGAGGACAGGCAGGACCCGTCTCGGCCAGA